AAAAAAAACTAAATTGACTTCAAATCGTGCAGCATATTTCCTTTTTTCATAGGCACCTTATTTATGTTTTAGTCATTTATGCTTAAACATGATAGAAATGTTTTCCTTGTATGCTTGTCTTTCATTTTCATGATATGAAAGTTCTAATTTCATCTTCGATATTTTTTCGACTTTCCATTTTGCATTCAGAAAATGTGAGAGCAGCAAGCTGTCCTGATAAGTTTCAGTCTGCACCTATTTGAATTCCGGCCGGTCTTCGTCTCTTGTTTTGTTTAAAGGTCACCTTTCCTGTGTTACCCGATTTAATTAATCTGTATCTGCTTTGGTTATCCTGTTTCCCTCTGTACCTTTTGTTCCCATCAGCACTTGTGTGGAAACTCAGAATCATCATTTCATCTTCAATTTTCCTCAGACAATATAGGGGAATTTCTGTTACCCTGCATTTTTCTAGCATTCACTTACACTTTGTTCTATCAATTCTAGTGAATAATATACTTGTAAATGTAAATTGATATCATTTTTTTGTAATTATTGTAACACGTCTACATTTGCTCATGAGCAGTGCACGTTTCCACTGTGGTGTTTAGACTGGCAGATTTATACATTAATGAACAGAAAACAATTCAATATAATGGGAGAGTGCCATCAAAGAAGCAACTTGTTCACGCTTGCTTTTTCTTAAATTTCCTATTGAGATCAATTCAAAATGAAAATAAACAAATTATTAGTGACAGATTAAACTAAAATATGAAAACACATTTCCTACAACTCTGAACAATTCATGATACATAGATATGAGTCGAATGAATGCATAAATACATGCTTTGAAACTTTTTTTAAGCAATACAAGTCAAGGAGTCAGCCCACTTCAGATTTTAATTTTTTTTAAAGATGTTCTACAAGCTTTGGAAAATTCACCTGTAGCTTGAGTGTTTCATGTAATTGTCCAATTTTATGTGAACATACTTTATATGAGCTGTGATATACTTAAACTTGAATGGTACAATGAATATAAAAGTATGGATTAACATAATGACAGCATTACCTTTCAAACTTTTGTTTTTGACACTTTACAGAGAAACATCTGGTTCATTCAAATGCCTTGGAAAACATTTTTCTCACACACATTTTAAGCAGAGCCATTTTCAGGTTTGGAGCCTGTAGACAGAGATTCTTTAAACAGTCTTTTCCTTTCCAGATTCTCATTTGCCTTTCTCCTCTTTTCTTGCTTCTTCATCTCAGACTCTCTCTTTTTCACCAGAACTTCACTGAGGTCTCCTTTATACGCAACATCAAGTTTCTCTCTCATAATTTCTCGGGCACGCTTTCGATTTATGTCCACAGATCTGGTTTGATGGCACTGGGGGGACAAAACATGACACACTTAATGGTAATCACATTTGATTGTTTTTTTAAATTATTATTAAGTACAGCATATAAGCAACGAGTTCCAGTCTTTTGCTAGTATTTTAGAGTTTTGTATTAGTACATTTTTATTATATACTTTAAAATGTTAAATCTTTAAAAAAAAAACCTATAAGGTCTTTATCAAACAACTAAAATGTTCACTTTTAATGACACATAAAAAGCCATCAGTATGTATTTACCTTCACAACAATCCCAGTGGGGATGTGCTTGAGCACCACACAGTTGCTGGTTTTGTTAGTAGCCTGCCCTCCAGGCCCAGATCCTCTGACAAACTGCTCGTCCAGCTCATCCTCGTTCAGGACTGGAAAATCAACCAGGTCCTTCTTGCCGAGTGTCGAGACACATGTCAGTCCGGGGTGAGTGGGTCTAAGCAGCGGAGAGGGGCTGGGAGCAGCTCTCCATATCACCCGCCAGGACACAGCGAACATCCGGCTGAAGAAGCGGAAAAGCAGAGTCATTACATGATGCTGCGTTTGTTGATAACCGACAGATAAAACTTTCTTCTTCTTCTTCTTCTTCTTTTTTATGGCGGTTGGCAAGCAACTTATAGATGTGCATTACCGCCATCTACTGGAATGGAGTGTGGATCGGGATGCTAACTTTAAATACTCCCTTCAAAACAAAACAAAACAAACAAACAAAAAAACAAAACAAAAAAACAAACAAACAAACAAACAAACAAAAAATTTATATATTTTCTATCAATTTTGTTTTCTTGAGATAATTAATTATATAACTTATATCTTTAGAAGTAGAATTTTTTCCTAAATTATCTTGTACATTTAACTGTAATTTATTTTCTTGTAACTGACTGACTAATTTCCTTCTCTCAACAGAATATTTTGTACAGAACAACAAAACATGCTTTACCGTCTCTTCTTGACCACAAAAATCGCACCTTCCAGTTCTATGTTTTCCTATTTTAAATAAATTACTGTTTAACCTTGTATGTCCAAAACGCAACCGAGATATAACCGTTTCCTCTTTTCTATTTCGTCCCGTTCTCCTCATTGCACCAACTTTTCTTTGAATACTGTACAGCCATCTACCAGTTCTATCTTCCTCCCACTGTCTCTGTTAACCTTTTGTTTAATAATAGATTTGATTTCTTCTTTACTAAACGGAACTAATATATCAATAACATTATATTTTGAAGCTTGTTTTGCATATTTATCTGCCGACTCATTCCCTCTTACTCCTATATGTGCCGGTATCCATGTAAATATAACTAATAAACCCATTGCTTGAATTCTATGAGTAATTAACTGAATTTCTAATAAAAGATCCGGTCTACTACTAGCGTGATTATTTTTCAATGAATATAATGA